ATTTTATTAAACAGCAGTATTTATACCTCTACTTAAGTAACAAATGTGTGTACTTTTGACACCACTGCCAGTATATTCCTATTACCATATTAACAAACTAAAAGAGAAGACAAGGACAACTATTATAAGAGAAGCAGCCAAGACGTTTATAGGAACCTTGGAGGAGCTGCAGAGATCCACAACTCAGGAGGGAGAATATCTTGGCAGTATCACTTTTTGTCACCCTTAAATCTGGGCTATGTGAAATATACAAACATTGATAAAATAAAACAGTAGGTCATACAATGGACACAGTATATGCTATTTTTGGCTTGCATGGAAAACACAGTGATACTAACTAACTTACACTACAGTACACATGCAGTTTAACTCACCATCTCAAAAATTAGATATGGTTAGGTCAGCAACCTAATGTAAGGGAGGATCATTTGTTTTTCAACAGGGACAGGGAATCTGATCATGGTGAAAAGGAAGATGGATACCGTTAAGTATAAGGAAATCCTGGCCTATAAACTTTTACAGATTGAACATGGAGCCGGAGGAATTGGTTTACCAAATAAACAATTTATATTTAAGACAAATTGAATTTAAAGTACAGGCATATATCCAATTGAAAATCTGTGGCAGGGTTCAGTTCATCAAATCCAAACGAGTTTGAGCGAAAAGTTTCCAGTCCCTAGATGTGCAAAGCTGAGACAAACCCAAAATATTTGCAGCTCTAATTGCAGCATGAGGTAATTCTTTAAAAGGGTTTTATAGCTTTCTTTGTAGCAGAGTACATTTTTAAACCCTACAGTAGGCAGATAAACAGTTTTGCTTCTGACCTGGTGTTTGGCATAACAAATTAATCATTATTTGTGAAGAAACAGGAAACAGGATAGAAATACCAAATCTCAGAAGCCAAACAGCTTCATTTCTCTCCAGAGAAAGCCTCCAAGGCAGGACATGCATACTGGTGAAGTATTTATTCCTATCACTCTGCTGTCACGTCATGGGCGTGAGAAACAAAACAAAAAAAAAGCATGGATATTATCTTTTCATAAAAGCCTTCGGTGTGGGTGGTACAGTAAACCAGTTTTAAGCTGATGCTGGATGATTCATCAAGTATCAGAGAACAGGACAACTCCTGTGGAATGAGGGAAATGTCATCTGATGCCATACGGGTTGTGTGAGCTACACATCCGCTGCCCCTATTCTCACAAGATCCCCTGCAAACCACCCTCACAAAAGCAAAATACGGATTTCTCAAATAAATATAAACAATAGAATATCAGTGCAAACAGATTTATGACTGCTTTAAGTGTGAGAGATTCGTTTTTCTAGCTGTGAGTTAATCTATACATTTATCATGATACAGCTGTCTTATCTGTCTGCATAAACCAAAGTGCTTGCAATGATGCTGTTTATCATATCAAAGGATACTCGTTGAGGCTAGCATTCATTTCAAGTGTTCACCTGACCTCAAGAGCATGAATTGGAGCTTTTTTTCCTCCATGGTTTTCCTAAGCAACACGTTGCTGCTGACTGCTTTCTGTGTGCAGTTTCAGTATCCCAGAGGAGTGGACCGAGGTTTTACTCTTCTTTCGATGTGGATAAATTGTTTTTATTTTGCTGAATGAAGAGTCAATTCACCTTATGGCGACTGGAAAAGCTGAGCAACAACGTCCGCATAGGAAAACCTGGAGAAATAGTGAACACTTTTCATGCAGACTGTTCTTCTGCTCATGTCTATGTGGTAAGAAGGAGAAGCAAATGAAGATTAATGACGGTCGCCTGCATTCACACCTGGATGAACAGGGATCAGGTGAGAAGAATGTGGTCCATATTACAGTGGAGGATCTGGGAATAGATAACAGCAGCTTCAGCCTAAGGGATGAGGACCCCCTGACCCTGAGGAACAGCATGGCCCACTCGTTCAGCTCTGCATCAGCCTGTTCAAGAGCTCTGAAAAAGAAAGGACTAACAGCTCTGTCCACACTTGTTTTAAAGCCCCAGGCTGAACCATCAGCAGCCATTGGCTACAAACAGGGCAATGAAGCAGGGGAACAATTTCAGCCAGTGTCTAAAAATTATCCTGATGGAACATCTGGTTCTGGAGGCCTCCTGACAACACCCATAATCAATCTGATCCCACCAACTCCCTCTAATATTGTTGATAACGGCCGGTTCTTTGACAGCAATTTAGATGAATGTGTGTCTCATTCATCTGGCAGTGACAGAAGATCTCCTGCTGGAGACCAGGATACAAGTTGTAGCGAGGAAACAGAGGAATCAGAGAAAGGATTTACACTGGCTGAAAATGCTGAGAGCAACCTTAACAGTGATGAGTTGGAAGACAGAGAGGAGTCTGTTGTTTCTAGAAATCTGGATAAAGAGAGATCAAGACCCGGATTCTTATCAAATGCTTTTAAAGTCCCTCCACTTCCTAAGTTATCAAAGAAATGTGAGTCTAAAATGTTCATATAAAGGAGAGATTTTGGAGTAATTATAATAGCTTGCTGATTAGGTGATCCATGATTTTATTCTTAATAATAACAAATGCACATTATTTATCCTTTTTTATCCTTTATTCTTATTATCTATCCTTTATAATATATAATGTTTCTTTTCTCTTCTGCTGTAAAGCTTAACTTTGTGCTAAATTGTGTTCTTTTCATATAATTGATTTTCTTAAGTCCTATCTTATCTTATCTCCTATCTTATCTTATCTTATCTTATCTTTATCTTTTCTTATCACCAATAGAATATTTAAAGAAGTTTGGAATTGTCTTTTTTGTCTTAAAAATAAGTTGGAAAGGGACATGTTTACCCTGTGCATCAAGGTTTTTCACCCCTGATGTAGATCACATCCATCTCCACTGTGTATTCTTTTTCTTGCTAATTGATTTTTGGGAATGGTCAAGCAGCTGTTTAAAACAGCTAATGTCAAGGTCAAAATTAGCATTCACAGCTAGTTTGGATAGATAATGTTAGTTTTCTGAAAAAAACATGAGCAGAAAAAAAAAAAAAAACTAGGGCAGGAATCTTACACTGTATAGTACTTAACCTACAATTTTTTGTTTTTACTTTACAAATAATTTAGTTTTCCTTAAATGGCTGAGTTCTTTTAATCAAAATAATTGTTTTCCATTGTTTGTCTTCTTTTTCGCAGGGGGTAACAGAACAGGAATAAGCTTTTTGTCATTAACTGAGCATAACGTGGGTGAGTCTTTCAGTGGTTCTTATATTTCTTTATTTTTGTTCCCATTCAGGAATAGTCGGATTGAGAAGTAAATGTCACCCAGATCCACACCATATGTTTCTTCTTCCAGATGTTCAGACTCATGTGTTTCCTTTCTGTTTTGATCTTTGTTCCCCATTCAACTAAAATTGCTGTCATTATGTGACATGGCTACAGTACCTAGAACGCCTCACTTGGGAGTTGCAGAAGTTCCCCTTTGTTGGAGTCTCCTTTTAGCTATTGTATGCTTATTCCCCAAGTGTAGTTATTCAGCCTGTTCCCAGGTTTTGGGTTGCTGTGACTCAGCATGCTCCCCTCCCTCCATCTTCTCTCAAAGAGCTTACTCTCTTTTCAAACCTATGATAAGCATCGCTTTTCCCTATTCATCACACAAACGTGCTGAAATGTCATGACTCTAAACTTCACTTTGTTAATCTTGTGTCTGTCTGTGAGTCAAAATGCGTCATGAACAACATGAACAATACGATGTCCCTTGTTTCTGCTGTTATGGAAGTACATGCAACTCGGACTTGTGAATGATTAAATATTGCTAATATTTGCACTTTAAGAGGTCTAATTTTTCCTTTATTTTTATTATATTTATCACAATAAATCATATAGAATCACAGAAAAGTGTTTAAATGAACTCATGGTTTACATGCACATCAATGTACTGTATGAGGCATTTACGATTAAATTGAAAGTCATTGTAAAAATACCACCGTGGTAGAACATGATAATGTCATGCTCTGGGGCTGCTTTGCTTCATCAGGGCCAGGGAAGCGTGTCAGAGAAGATAGGAAGACGGTTGATGAAGCTTAATGCCAGAAAATCATTGAAGCAAACCTGATAGGAGTCTGAAAAATAACTTGATCAGAACCTAAAAGGAGCTAAATGGAGGACAATCCTTAAAGAATGCCCATTAGAGCAGCGGTCCCCAACCACCGGGCCGCGGACCGGTACTGGTCCGTGGGTCATTTGGTACCGGGCCGCACAGAAGTATATATATATTTATATATGTATATATATAATTTATCGACGATCAGAGTCTGGGTGATGTTTTATTTTGAAAAATATAAAAATTTGCGGTATTCTCTCCCAATTACATCAGCCTAGATGGGACCGGCTTGTTGTTTTATTTTTATGCTGTTTGTATTTGATTTTATGCGAGTCGTATCATTTTACTTGATTGTAACCCAGCCCCCCCCGGCCATTCCGTGAAAATATCGTCTGACATATAACGGACCGTGGTGCAAAAAAGGTTGGGCACCGCTGCACTAGAGGATGCACTAAAATCTGAGACCGGGGTGGGGGTCCAAATCCGAAAGGACGGGAAACTCCAGTCAGAGTTTCAATGGAGTGGTTTCAAATGAAAATCCAGAATTATCTAGGGAGAGTGTTGGCCTAGTGGTTAGAGCAGTGCACTTGTGATCTGAGAAGGTTGCAAGTACCCAGTTTGATCCCCACAGCCTGCACTCTGGGTCCCTGAACAAGACTCTTAACCCCACACTGCTCCCCGGGTGCCACAGAATGGCAGCCCACTGCTCCCCAAGGGGATGGGTTAAATGCAGACGTGAATTTTCTGCAGTGTGAGACCAATAAAGTTCAATTATTATTATTATTATTATTATTATTATTATTATTATTATTATTATTATTATTATCCTTAATCTAACTGAGAAGTTGTGCCAAGACTTGGAAAAATTGTCATTTATAGATGCTCTCCATTTAGTCTGTAGAAAATCTGATCCAAGGATGGCTGAAAATATATTTTTTAATCCAATATGATAAATAAATAATTTAAATAATGCACTTTTAATATTTGTTACAGGTATAAAGCCATTTGCATAATTCAGGACTTTATAAAGTTAACAGAGGTCATAGGGTGAGACAAAATTATTTTCTCAGTATTTCAAAGGCACTGTGTAATGTCTGAGGTCAGCTATGTGAAGGTACTCCCATGTGTCTTTAGATGTAGCCAACACTCATTCCCTTTAGCCTGGCCTCGATAAGACAGTAGCTTGGCATGCACTAGATTCTGACTCTCCTTTGCTGCAGGCCATGTACTCTTTGTGCCTGGTGATGAAGAGACTGTTAGTCAACTGCCCCTCCTTTTCTGCTCCTCTGCCGCTCCAGGACCCAGACAAGATTCCAGTGCTGACACACATAAACCAATTACACCATCTTATCTGACTCTGCCTCCATCTCATCCCCTATACATGTCAAACTAGCTTAATAGCAACAGCAAGCTGAAATGAGAGTGCTAAAATGTACCAACGTGTGATGATGTTTTTCTTGGCTAGCGTATTAAAAAAGACAACTGCTTTTTTCATCCTAATCCTTCCACCTTTAAATTTATTGAAGTTTAGTTTGCTGAAGTCACATCAGTACGTCTGCCATGTGTGGCATGAAAAGTCGAGGCTTAGCTTGATGTCATGTTTCCAGCCTCATTCGTCTTGCTTGTTATGATTGGAGAAAATAAATGACCAAGTGAATTTTGGGCAATGTAAGAAAAAGCACTGCCTGTGGGAAAGAATTTGGGCTGTGAGAGAAGCATGTCATCCACCAGACAGACAGGCTTCTGTTTGGTTGGTTGCTCAGCAACTTCATCTACAGTGCCTTGTAAAAAAATATATTTATACCCCTCAAACTGATTAACATTTTTCTCTGAAACATCCGCAAACATGGAGGATTTTACAGGGATTAATAGGATAGAATAACACAAAGCACACAGAAGTGTAAAGAATATTGAACCATGGGTTTACAGGACAGTCATATATCATTTACAAGTAATCTCTTTTTTCTATATTTGGCCCCAATGAATTCATTTAATGTAGTATCTTCTTTAATTGAATTAAAGCTTTTGTTTTTTGGCTAAATTGGATAATCCATGTCCAGAAAGAAAAAAAGTCTGACTACAGATTAGTTCCATTTGCATTTTTAGCCTCAATATAACAATATAAAGTGGAGGCTAATCATTTGGGAAAGTGATGAAGGAAAACTAAGCAGCGTTTTTACTTTTTACTTCTGCTTTTTTGGTTTTGTTGTTGGATGTGAGTCTGCAACCTGCAGCTCCGACACTACAAGTGGTTCTTAGTACCTTTGACCAAAAATGATAAAGAATCAAGCAAAGTTTTGATACTTTAATCTAATAATAAGGGCTAGTTTAAACAAGTGCAAATGGTTTTCTTTATATCTTAATTTCCTATAAAATTTGAACCCCCCATTAAAAACACTATTCATTCTCAGCTTTGTTTAATTAGTTTTTTAAACCAAATAAAAAGTAGAATAATTTTTCTTTCTTATAAAATTATTTACAATTTTTACTATGGAAAATATTATAAAATTAGCTGTTTGTTTTAGAAAACAATCCTGCTTTTTTGTTCTTTAGCTGGATCCAAAGGCAAAAGGCGTTGTTAGGGTAAAGGTTGCTGACCCCTGGGTTTTTCTGTCAGTTTCAGGTTGTTCTGCACTTACATAAACCCAACTAATCCTTATTTCAGTATTTCCCTTAATTTAGCTCCATACTCCTCCCCATGAGTTGCAACTTCTCCTTCCTTGCTAGAGGGAAATAATTCTCAGAGCATGACGGTACCAGCATGTTTCACTGCTGAAAGGCTGTAATCCGTATAATATAGAGTGTGACTTTGGGACCTATCTGCTGCCTTCAATGATATTTTTTTTCAATGGTGTTCTCTAACAAACCTCTAAGGCCATCGAAAACAGCTATTCTGCTGGTGAGATTTTATATACGGGTACAAAAGCAGGGAGGGCTAGATAAAAATTTATGCCACCACAGAAAAATACAGTGTGCTGTAATGTAAGCCATGGATGTTTTGGTTTTATGTTATTACGCATAACAAAAGCAACACCAAATACTAAAGCAATTGGTTACCTCTTGTTATTCATTGCAGGTAGCTAATACTGATATCCTGAAGCAAAGAATGGAAAAAATTAAAAGAAAATATGATCTGGGCATTACATTAGAGAGGATGCCCAGTACCTGTTCATTAAAAAGTTGACCCAGAGCTGCCAATTTTACCAGGCCAAAGACCTATTACCATATCAGGCAATGATGAAACAAAAAGACACATTAAACTATTTAAAGAAAACTCTAATTTGAAATGTGTCAACATTTCAAAATAGGGATTATGAGCAGCATTTTTTTAAAAATGGCATACAGTTATTGCTGTACCTTTTTTATAGCAGTGATGAAGCGAGACTCTCTTTCCTAACCCTTTTTTATATATCCATCCCAACAACCATTCACGCACACACTCACACCTAAGGAGAATTTAGAGAAGCCAATTAACCTAACAGTAATGTTTTTGAACTTTAGGAGTACGCCGGAGTACCGAGAGAGAACATACACATACTCAGGGAGAACATGCAAACTTCATGCAGAAAAACCCCGGGCCAGGAATCAAACTCAACATTCTTGCTGCAAGGCAGCAGTGCTACCCAGTGTTCCACTGAGCAGCCCACCTTTTTACATTAGACACCTTATTTACATACAGAAATGCAGTGATAAATAGTGCATTTTGACATAATTGATAAAAAAAACCTTTTGATTATTCAAAGATAAACATGTTAATCCAAACAGTTTCACTGAATTGTTTCTGAAGATGACATGTTGTGAATTTGGTGCTACAAAAGACCAAAAACATGAGCTACAGCTCTAAATTTTAAAGTCTGAAGAAATTACATACAGTTTTTAAACAATGCAGTAAGGTACACTTACTTTACCAAGAAGCATGCACCATCAAAAATAAAACCTGCTGAGGGGTAATTGTCCAATGCTAATTACCATATTTTAAGCTTGCTAACGTCTAAAAGCTTTTCATCAAGGCAGATATCAGATTCTGACTCTTCATTTTATTGTTTGTAAATATTTATTTTAATTCTTTTCTCTTCATGATAATATTCTAATCTTGATTTTTTTTTTCTTTCTTAGCTTTATAAAATAACATCCCATTAAATTCCCCTTCAATTACAGTTATTGACATGACAGAATGCAAATTATTTCAGTAGGCATGAACACATATGTGGCGCAATGTAACAGGGTATAGCATTCAATTGTCCTAAAATTATAACAACTATATGTAAAACATCTGTTTCATTAAAAATGTCGATTATGTACCTCTGTTTAGATGACTTGAGCGCCAAAGATCAAATCTCTTCCAACATGCTGAAGACAGAACTTGACCAGCTCCCTGCCACAGCCCTCATGGATGCGTTTACCTTCCGTAAGGTATGACTTCACTCAAAGCTCCTCTCCTCATTCTTCATGTTGCCTTTCAGATACTCACTCTGCAGGTGAATCACAGTATGTTAAAGCTTTAGTACATCTAAAGATCAGACATTTGAAATGTTCAACTGTGCTTTAGGGGAAAAGTTTGATATAAAATTATCCCTCAACTACAAGCCAATATAAATATAAGGTCTCCTATGGTTCCTATGGTTTTTTATGAGGTGAACTCCAAGCCCTAAAACTTTTTCCACATACACAATAGCACAATTCCTGCACCTTTCAGAGTGGCCTTTTAATGTGGGCAGTCTAAGCACAACTGTGCACTAAACATGTTGTCTAACCAGCATCTTGATGTGGCACACTTGTGAGGTGGGATGGATTATCTCAGCATAGGAGAATTATTCACTTTTACAGATTTAGACTGGTTTGTGAACAATATTTGATGGAAAGTTTTATTTTGTATGCGGAAAAAGTTTTACATCTTTAAGTTAATCTCATTAAAAAAGGGAGAAAAACCAAAAGTTTTGCGTTTTTATTTTTGTTGTGTGTATTTGAGTAAATCTTTTTTTTTTATCAGAATGTAATCAGGAACTTTTATTACAGCGACCATTAATGCGCTCCTGCAGTCTTGGTGAAACAACATCTCAGACCTTTGCTTTCCATACATCAACGCAAACTACAGATCAAAGAAATGGATCGCCTCAGAAAAGGCGTATAACCATTGGTGAGTCTACATTCAAACCATGCATAAATAACATATATAACTCTCTTTCTATAGAAATAGGTGATTCAAATCTGCCTCACTAACATTGTTGCTGCTGTATGTGTTCTGTCCAGCTTCTCATGAGCCTCACTCGTTGGATCAGAATGGAAACTTCACTGAAAAGGTAATCCAAAGTTGGACCTAACGGCTAGCATAATCACACTAACAATAGATGTTGCTTGCCCCGTATGGTCAATTTCACTCTCCCAAACGCTCCAGTTATTAACAACGACAATGAAGTCTTAGTATTTTAGCATCAAGCCTTTGCATATTAAGTTTCTAAGTAACATTTTTCTTTTATTAAAACAAAATTACTTAATCTTTCTAAGGGCCCGAGTCGCATGATGCTGCTATCCCTGTAATTTCCAACAATTCCATTATACTTCAGTTTAAAGACTTCACCTCTACTCCTCTAAACATTTATCATGTCTGTGATTAAACAGTCGAATATGTAGCATTTGTGACCATGGAACGTGGTTATGTTGTGGTCTTTATTGATCTTCTGGTTTGTGACACAACTGTTTGTCTAAAACACACCTGACATGTTTTGACTACCAAACCTTTGTCTCTAAAACTTCTAACGAAGACAGATGTTTTGCATTCAAAAAATTTCAGATGTTCATCTGTTTGAAAACAGTAGAATATAAACTACTACATCCACAAATAGACCCTTTAAATTTTGTAGGAATTTTGTTGACTGGGAAAGCTACGCATTTCAGACAAGCCTAAAAGTGTCCTGCTTCCTGCATGTTGCAACAGTTTGTGTTCATTTTAAACCAATTAACTGTGGATATTCATTCTGATGTCTCTGCACCTTCCCATACAGGATGAATTCCAGGCTGGATGGCTCATTTATTGTTTTTGTACAGGGCAACAAAGTCCCTTTCTTTTGAGGTTAATAGTTTGTGTCAGGTTCTTTTTTTAAAAACTGGAAGCCTCAACAGTGTCTCGGTTGATAGGAGGTTTTTGAAGACCCAAATGCAGAGATCAGGAGGCTAGGGTTAGTCTTGTAGATTTTATCAGAACACTTGAGGCAGATATCCAAAATACAAAATACTGAGAACCAAAAAATAGGATATGTCAGGGAAAACTCACATGGGGAACCAGAGATGGGGAGGTTACTAAACAGAAACAAATAAGCACTGAGTGACTGCAGAGATGGTTTATATATAGAGAGACTGAACCAAAACAGGCTAATCAGCAGATTGGGAGCAGGTGTGAGTGGAACCAACTAGAGGGAAGCCAAGGAGAAAGGAAGCAATCACAAGGGGGCTACAGAGGGTAACTCAAGAACTAAACACTGACATAAAATAACTACAAATACAAAGAAACTAAGAATAAACCCAAACAGAAGGTAGAACCCTTAGAAACAGGACAGATCTGATACGCGTAAAGAACGGTGCTGGAATGAATAAAATAAGCTACTGCTGCATTTCTAAGTTACCCCAACCTTAATCCAATAGTAAATACATGGGCTATGCATAATGGCGATCCATTTCAGGAAATCAACTTATTTTCGAAGCATTCGATCGAACATCCAGCCAGATTTTAACAAAGTATACTGATGAATATCAACTAAATTATATTTGGTTTTATGTAACTTAAGGAATTCTATTCAAATGCTGGTAGCAATTTATGAAATATATTTGGCCCAAAGAGGATTAGAAAAAATCCCTCCAAAATTCACATTCCTGTCTTGTATTAAATCTTTCAACCCTGGTAAAGGAACTATTCACATAAATCATTAAAATACTAATTCGTATTAGCACAACTATAATAATCCCTCATCAGAGGGAGAGATGTTGATCCTATGAAACCAAGAAAACACTTCTCAACAAGGTTGCTTTAGTACTCAAGGCTGTTTGTGTTTTTATTGCATGGCAAATATTTTAACTAGGTATAACATGTCTTAGCTTGCTTATACAGCACAGTCATACACATTTCCAATAAGGCGGTGTCGCAGTCAATGACAGCTCTGGAATTTTCCTGCTTTATCTTGAAGTGTTGCTTCAGTCAAGTAGCAAAAGTGAAAGAATCATATACTGCATTTTTCTTTGTCAGGGGAAACACCCCATTAACTCCTATAGAGTAAGAAATTAGTAAAATTGTGAAAGTCATGTAATTCTATTATATTAGAGAACTTACATGTTTATTCTGGTTAAAAATGTGTATTTGCATTAGAACTGTTCCAGCTTTACAAAACATCTTATCCCTGTAGTTCAGCAAACCATATATAAACATAAGGCCATGGATAAATGGATAACATTTTAGATTAGTGACTAATGTACTGTCATAGTAATTCTTATTATTTACAGATGATGGTATAGATAACCTATTTGCTTAGAGGGATGATTATGTAGATGGTGTTTTGCAGTGCAATGATTCTTAAAAGATATTTCCTGTATGAAGGATTTCTCTCTCCAGGATTTATACAAGCAAAAGGCCAAATCCTTGAGTGAGCTGAGCACAGAGGAGGTCTGCCAGTGGTTTACCAGTATTGGACTGCAAAAATGTCTCCCTTTCATCAGAGGTAACACATATTTTGACTCTCATAAACTGTGCATTGCAAAAATAATGCTTTGTAATGAATCATAACATGATCTTCTTTTATAAAAAATATGTCATTGTTAGGACTGTTTTCTTTGTCATAAAGCAAAAAGATAGTTGGTGGGAGAACATCAAGAACTTCTTCATGTATGTTTGTTTACAATGTTTACTGTCTTCTCTCTTAGAGGCTAAACTGTGTGGATCGGACATAGCTTCAGTTGATGTCAGCACTCTGGACATCCTCCATATCAGCTCACTGGAGGACAAGGAGCGATTACTGTCAGCTATTTATAAGGAGCTCCACCCCCCCAGCACCATCACTCAGACAATTGACTCTTTGCTTGGTATATATATCCCCCCATTAATTGTTGATATCCCAATCAATTTTTTTTTTTTTTAAATACCAATAAATTACAATCAGTGCCATATGTTTCCTTTTCCTTCAAAAAGAGTCGTAAGATTCAATGTAATGCAAGGCTAATGTTTCCAATTAATTTTGAACAAATTCAAAATTATTTTGCTGCCTTATAAACTTAGTTTTCCTTTAAACATCTTAAACGTTGATGGCAGTTGTTTTAAGTTCCTTTTGAAGATTGCACAGAGCAGTTCACATGACACTGCATCCAAGAGAGTCACTCTTTAATTGTGAACACCATATAGGATTGTTAGAGAAAAGTATTGTCTTTAGTCATAATAATTATGTTCATGGCCTTTTATTAATTTTACAAACTATGCAATTTGGTTGTAAAATATGCATTGGTTCCAACCCTTTGGCTAACATTACGGTTGTGGCTAACAAAATTACAGGCAGAACTCCAACAACTGGGAGTTCAGTTTGGTAATGAACTCGGTCATTTAAAAATGCCTTGACTGGGATATCAAACCTTTAACATAGAAAAAATCTAGACTATAAATCAGTGTTGCCTGATGTTTCTTTTTTACCCAGAGTCTTTAGGACCAAGTAATGTAGAGACATTCACTGCAGCTTTGGCATCCATGAGCAGGTCCACATCCTCTCCCCATGTAAGCTGTTTGAGTATGAATCAACGCTCTTTTAAGCTCAGGTAAAGTTAATACACTCAATGAACATTTTCACAAAACCAAACAAAGGTACAGCATCTCTGTTGCCTCTCTTTTTATATTTTTTTGAAGACATAGGTTATTTAAATACAAACTAAAACTTTTTATGTTATTTTCTACAAAGAAAACAACCAAACAAAATGAAAAAGAAACCAGCTAATATTATTTAACACTGTTTTTTTAGATATATTATTTAATACCTGCTGGTACTGTTAACTGAAATACTTCCCAAAACCACACCACAATATTACAAAACAAAGTGTTGATTTTAATCTCATGGTCTTGTTTGACAGCAGAAACAGCAGTCAAAACCTTACGACATCAAGGAGTTCACAGATGATAGAGATCACAATTAATGGTAAGTCAACAAAGTTGTTCTAGACCTAAATACTGAATATCTTATTAACAGGAACATAAATGACAAAGAGACACATAAGTATTTTTACACAGTTTTCCATATTGCCAACTTTTATGATTTATTGAAATTGTATTTTATAGAAAAAAGAAGCCACTAACTGCCCCCAACCATCAGTAATTAAACTCCATCTAAAAGCAATATGATTTCAGTATAATTTTTGTTAAAGAAATCTAGTAAACAAACAACATCATGAACTCCAAGCAGCACCTGCAAGGTCAGGGATAAAGTTTTTTTGAACCTTTCAAAACTGTGAATATTGCTTAGATTACTGTTCAACCCATCACCTAAAAATAGGAAGAGCATGAAATAAAATAAAAAGCAGCCAGAACAGAAAGCACAGATCACTGA